GGAAAATTTCGTATTACGTTTAGAAAGATTTGGTGTAATCGTGTTATTTTTTTAATTTTGATTTTATTCATTATTACTATATTTTTTCTCTAATCTTTACTTTCCTAAAAAAAATTTAGGTTTATTATTGATGTTTGATTGTGTGTATCGAAGGAAAATAATATTATATATTAAAATAATATAAAATATATTACAAGTTAATATGATTTAATACATTATAAAATAATTTTTTATCACGAAAAGAAACCAAGGAAGGGTTGCCTGTAATTTAGATAATTTAAATGGACGATATGAATTTTTTGAAATCATTAACGACTCTTTTCATCCTAAAAGAATGAGTTTAACTCAGCTCGAGCAAAATAAAAGGTACGATAGATTGAGAATTAGTTTACTTGGCTTGATGATAGTTGTAGAGAAAATGAAATTTCTAATGTACAGAGTTGTATTGAGTATTCTTTTAGCAAATATGATTGTTGATTTTAATTCTAATCAGCTATCAAATTAAAACGATTCTTAGTGTTGTCCTCTAGCAGAAAAATTGAAAATAAGTTGTATAATATTTTTAATGTTATGTCAAAAGAAAAAGAATATCAGTAAGGAGTTCAAAAATTGAAGAAAACACACGAAGTAATCGAAGAGGGTTCGACATTACATATCTAAAAGATTATTTTAATCATATAAAAATAGTATAATTTTTTATCGAAGGAGATTTTGAACCCTCTAATGACAATGTGGCTCCAAAACTGGTCAATTGTGGACAAGTAAATATAGACACAGGAAGTACTTATTGGACGTGCTAACTCGAACATTCAAATAACTAGACGTTTTATCTTAAATATAGACGTTAACGAATTAATGACCATAATTACTTTTTAAAATTGTGACTTATTTGAATCAATTTTATCTTGACGACGTTAAAGATATGTTTGCCCTTGATCATTCCATTCAAGACTTTTCTATATATAAATAGAAATAATAAATAATCAAAAAAGTCGAGAAAAGAAAAAATAACTAAAATTAATTACTAATTACTGTCCATGAATTTCTAAGTTTTATGTTTGATGCAATTATACATTCGAAAATCAACGTAACGTGTTACTTTTTTTTTCTTTTCAAAAGAAAAAAGTTAATAAAATAAGAGAATAAAAATTTTTCAAAAAATATTTTGTAGCATCAGAATTTGTTATTGTCCAACTAAAAATTCTATATCAATTTATCAATTAACTGCATTATATTTCAATAATATTTGTAGCATTAAATATGTTGATGTTACTTTAATATTGCAATATTATTATTTGTTTTGCAAAAATGAATTTAATTCAAAAGATAAAAAACTAAAATTAATTATAGCGATTATTATAATCTAAAAAACAAAAGAAAGAGCTTTCGTGCATGCATTTATTTAAATTTTTTTCCTTAAAAAACTTAAAACATATAAAGTAAGAAATATTGCATTGATTTTTTTTACCCCAAATCAAATTGGAAAATTTTAAAGAATCCGATCCAACCCGATTCGAATCAAATACAAATAAGAAAGCACCAACAGTAAATTACTAGAAAATCAAATCAAATCAGAGTATTACGATGGCGAAAAAAGGAAGAATCCGATCCGATTTGAATCAAATACAAATAAGAAGCACCGGCAGTAAATTACTAGAAAATCAAATCAAATCAAATCAGAGTATTGCGATGGCGAAAAAAAGGAAGAATCCGACCCAATTCGAATCAAATACAAATAAGAAGCACCAGCAGTAAATTACTAGAAAATCAAATCAAATCAAATCAGAGTATTGCGATGGTGAAAAAAAAGGAAGAATCCGACCCGATTCGAATCAAATACAAATAAGAAGCACCAGTAGTAAATTACTAGAAAATCAAATCAAATCAAATTAAATCAGAGTATTGCGATGGCAAAAAAAAGGAAGAACCCGACCCGATTCGAATCAAATACAAATAAGAAGCACCGGCAGTAAATTACTAGAGAATCAAATCAAATCAGAGTATTGCGATGGCGCAAAAAAGGAAGAATGATGGAGAATTACCAGAGAGTTCATCTTGTAAGAAGCAGAAGAAGATGAAGGGAAAAGCAAATTTTATCATTTCTGCAGCTGCTGCTATCTTCTTTCCTCTATTCTCCTTTATAATCAACAACGATTTTTCACTTAAAGTAGGGAAGAAGACTCCGCCCTCAATCGATCAGCTAGAAGTTCGTAATTCGGTAAATTCATTTCTCTGTATTCTCATATTCAATTCTATTAGGAATTTGTTAGTGAATACTCGTTTTGTCTCCAGGCCATAGTTCAGTTCCCTGAGGAAATACTCGTCAACATCCTCACCAGGTTACCTGTGAAGTCTCTTGTTCGATTTAAATGTGTTTCGAAATTCTGGATAACGTTGATATCAGATCCTTACTTTACAAAGAAGCATCTCAATCGTGCTAGGAACGACCAAGATTCCCGGAAGCTTCTTATCTACCAATGGGCCCTAAGGTGTCTAACTTCTCTCTATATTGTTGTCCTTTATCGCCCGTTCAACAGGTTAAGGATGTAAAAAAACTTAAACTCGATTGCCCTTCAACTCTTAAACCAAACAAAATCCTGATCCATTGTTGTTACAATGGCTTAGCTATTCTCGAGATTTGTGATAAAGATGGCGTTAATTTTTTGCTGTGGAACCCTTCCATAAGAGAATCAATAGTACTTCCCCTCTGGGATGTCCAGGGGATGGACGTTCACGTTTTGGTTTGGGTTATGACTCGAGCAGTGATGAGTACAAGATCATTCATATGCACCAGAACATAGAAGGTCCCTATTATACTAATGAAATTCTTGCGTTGAAAGATGGCTGCTCTTGGAGAAGCATCGATGAACATCCTCGTGCCATTCGCTGTTGGTTCCATGCCTCAGACTCTTTGCCTTTTATACATGCGGCGTTTCATTGGATCCAGGTTTCAAGAAACTATTTTGTGGTGATTTCGTTTGATATTTCAAATGAAGTGTACGGAGAGATACCTGTGTCTGAGGAAATATTAAGCTTGAAGGCAGGCCCTGACACTGTTGGCGTTTCTGTGTTGGAAGGAATGCTTTGTGTTTATTCTAATCTATTTTTTACGGGAAATGATACTTTTGTGGTATGGGTGTTCACTATCCTTCAGTAGACCATTTAAATCATGGCCTCGATGTGATACGATTCAAGGTGGACATGCTTTTACAGAAAGTTTGATAATCACTTACTTATTCTTAATGTATGTATGATGGAAGAGCCTTATTAAAAAAAATGTTAGTTTAGCTATTGCTCATTCACCAGTTTCAATATTTATTACTAAAACTGTTAGCTTTCAGATTTTCAGAGTATCTACTTCATTGTGTGTTCTTCCTTTTACTTATTACTAAGTTTCACGAGGTTTAACATTCGTTATTCTTTCCCGGGAAAAGGGCCCGATATACCCCTCAATTTTGTCATTTGGAGCTTATATACCCCTCGTTATAAAAGTGGCTCATATATGCCCTTACCGTTATACAAACGGCTCACATATACCCCTGCCGTTACAAATTGTCTCACATATACCCTTCATTTAACGAAAGTTAAAAGATTAGTTTTAAATTTATATTTATTACTTCTAATTTTTTTAAAAAAATTATTTAGGAGTATATATGATTCTTCTATCAAAGTTCAAGGTATATTTTAATTTTTTTCATACATAAATTATTTTTTGACTTCTTTTATTATAATTATTTGAATTTCTTATTCTTATTTTGTTTTTTTCCTTCCTTCCTTAGTTTAAAGAATAAAAAATTAAACTATTTTTTTTGTGTGTATTGTAATTTAATTTCGTATTCGAAGAAAAAATTTGGTCATCTACAATAAGTTTTACAAGAATATTAGTGAAACATAAATAAAATTGATTATCAAAAGAATAATTATAAATTAGTCATTGAAACAAAAAAAAAGTCAAAAAAATATGTTTGACGAGAATTAAATTTACTCATATGGGATTATATTTTTTAGAAAAAAATAATAAAAATTTAGATTAAAATTATTATTTTTTTCAATTCCGTTAGAGGAAAAGGATATATGTGAGTCATTTGTCTATAAGTAGGGGTATATATGAGTCACTTTCATAACAAGGGTATATCAGCTCTAAATGACAAAGTTGAGGGATATATCAGACCCTTAGGTCAATTGGATCGATCGTTTCTATTGGCTAGTATCTCACTATTATAACCTATAAATATTCTACAGGTCTGAAAAAAGAAATGCAGATTCTGTTATTTGTCTATTATAGCATTACCAAGCTGCAGCAAAAGCAACAATTCAGCAAAGCTAAACGAACGTTGGTTTCAAATTGGATATAGAGATTCATATAGCCAAACACAACTACTTAGGGATTGAGGCACAATTGTTACTGTAGTTGATGGTGGTTCCTTTTCTATCTTTATATAGACCTATCTCTCACTATCTAACAAAGAAACGCTGAGGGCGGACGTCTAAACATCAGGGGTATGCTAATACTGGCGACGTTAGGAACCCACTATGACACAACAGCCAAAAAAAAGGCCACCTTGATAGACTATTTCACTGTTAAGAGGAAAACACTCTCTTAAACTATCGTAATAAAGTTTACATTAAGACATTCTGGTGTCAACGCCAAGAGAAGTTGAAGTATTCATATACACCTCCATACCTAATGGACTTGGAAATTCTCAAACGTTTCAGTTCGGGTCAAGTCTCTAGAGAAGAACTCTGGATGTATTCAATAAGACATATCCAAGGAAGTCTGCATTATAGCAAAAAGATGAATTCTTGCAATTAATTCAGTTTCAGGAGAGTTCCAAGTGTGAAGACCTCCGAAGTAAATGCAGTTATAAAACTTACAAACAGATCCAACGAATCATGGTTACAATTTTCATTGCAAAAGAAAAGAGATTTAAATCTAATTTGGCTCGTAATCACTACTCTCCAAAACCACATACGAGTACTTCTACAATGCTACCATAATCTAGTTAAACATATATATAACATAACTCAAACTCCAATGGAAGAGGAAAACAAAACTAACAAAAGAACCACATTGTTCATAAAATGAAACTTTTACCAAGAACAGCATTTTGTCAACAAGACACAAACTTAAAGCTATATAAGTTTTATATTTCTACACATACTACTATCTCGTTCCACAATCATTGATATGCAACATCATATTGATATTTATAATCGAGATCAAATAACACTCAACAATTACCAAAAGACTATAGAAGGATTGAAATTTTTCGAAATACCTTCACTTAACACCATCGAAAACCATTCCTCAACTTCGAAAACAAGCTTAAAAGCTCGAATTTTTCATCAAAAGAGCTGTCAATCCTCCTCATCACTCTCATCACTAAAATAACCTTTTCTCTTCTCCTTCCTTGCTTCCTTCTTGAATTCGTCGTTATCTCCTTTCAATAACCTCTCCTCTGCTCCTCTATCCACTACAGAAGCCCAATTATCGTCAGCAAAACGCGCTCCTCCTTCATCATCCGCCTCGTCCTCCTCCTCCTCGTCATCCTCCCACTCCCCACCCCTACCCTCATCACCCCTCTTTCCTCCTCCACCACCCCTCCGCCCTTTCTTTGGTGGCTCAGGCCTTTCCCTTGGCCCAAACAGATTCTTCGGACACTCATACGATAAATGCCCTTCTTCCCCACACTCATAACACCTACTTTTATCCTTATAAACCTTCTTCCTAATAAATTCAGCTGCACGGCCATTATCAGAAGCAATTGACGCAGTTAGGGTTCGTCCATTCAGTAATTTTTTATCAATTCCTTTCACAGCTTTAATCGCATCTTCTCTAGAAATGAAAAGGATGAATGCTACCCCACGGCTCTTTCGAGTAACCCGATCTTTAACTACAGTTACCTTTGCAACCTTGCCGAAATTGGAGAAGATTGTATGGAGATCGGAATTTGTCAAGGTATAATCGAGATTACTCACGTAAACTGTTGATTTTGATGGAGCTAGTCCACCGCTGCCGCTGATTCCGCCGCCGCCGCCGTGAGAGGATTTTGAAATGGAAACGTTTTTGGATGTGACGGAAGACGACGACGGCGCCGGTGATGGTGCGGAGGAGTATCGGTAGTAAAAGGTATCGTCTTCGTCGTCATCTTCACTGTACTTTCTCTTCCTCGACATTTTTTTCTAAATTAAGAAAATTAAATTGGTATTAAAGTTAAACTATATATTATAATTAGATGAAAGTTAAAAATGTTTTCATTTTATTTTTAACAATTCAAACCTTAATAACAACATCACAACACTAGTAAAAAGAAAATTAAAATTAAACTATCGTTTTTAACTATTCTAACTTAGTTCATGACAAGCAATTCAATAAACTCGAGTCAAATTGAATGAATATCAAATTATTCATATAACTAAATTCAACTTAATTTATTCACACTATTAACTCAACAAACATATCTAATGTGCCTTAAAATACGATCGTGTTGTATTAGTCTTCTATCTCCCTCTAAGGCAGGAGCGGATCTACGTAATTGAATACTCTTTGTCAAAAAATTATATAGATAAAATTTTATGTATTGGAGAACATATAATAATTTGGACACCTTAAGAACATCAATATAGCCTGGCCTAGTGGTTGGAATACCAATTTGGTTGCACGTGCGTGTGTGTGGTTGCAGGATTGATTCCTAGCAGTTGTACTTTCTTTTTAACTATTCAAATATAATCAAATTCATCATGTATTAATAGAAATTTGTCAATTAAATAACACTTAAAAGCATAATAAAACAAAAACAAAAAAAAATTCATAACAATACAATACATAATTACATAAAAATATGGGTTGCATACCAAATCCATTTTGGACAACCATACCTTAACTCCAAAATGAAAATGAAAAACTTAAAATCATCTAACATAAAAAAAATCTAAAAAAATATATAAGTCATATCTTATACTGTTAAGTTTAACCGTTGAACTATATTTTAAGAAAGCTTCTCTTGCTTCTCTTTTAATTTCAGAATGAAGTCATTTGTTCTTCTTCCCAGAATAAACTGTATTTATAGTGATATTTGATTGTCTTTTCATCTACCAAAATTTTTTAATGGGGCACATTGAATCATGATAGATACATTTACTTTAGTTTCTAAATTCAAAGAATCACAAACTTTGAAGAGTTTCATACATTATGATTTTAGATAGATAAATTTATGTTAATTAAAAAATTCAAAAAACCACAAAATTCGAAGAGTTTCATACATTATTGTTTTCTATTCTAATTTAATTTAACCTATTTAATTATAATTATAATGTCATAACTAAAATATTAAAGTGTAGTTGTTGGATTTCATATTATACTATTATGTAATTAAATTAAATATTAGTATTTTAAAATAAATTAATTTATTTTGATTTAATGGAGGGGCAAAATGGTAATCCAACTTTGTAGTGGAGCTTCCCACTTATAATAATACTAGTTTCTGATAATGTGCGTTGCACGTTTATCCCTTACTATCATTACAATTTTTTATTTATTTAGAAGTGAGTTATAAGGTATAGATATTGAAATTAACAATATTATTTTTACTATTTATTTTTTATTCATTAAAATAAATCATAAAATAGAATGGTGCATTTGCTATCAAACCAGAAATATGTGAATCATGATTGTAAAATATATCTATGAATTCATGATAGAAAAATAATAATAAATGTATCTAATGCCTTTAATGAAATAACAAAGGCGCGAGACAAATTTATCAGAAATATAAATTTCAATTACACATTTTGCATTTTCTATAAAGAACATAAACATCGAAGCTTAACGACAATACGATAAGATTGTCTTGAGAATGCAATTACTTGTGATAGTCCATGGGTCTATATATGAGTATATTTTATTGTATTTACATGAAATAAGCACTATTTGTGTTAGTTTTTGATGATATGATGTTTCAGTATTTATGAAAAAATCATCACTCTATTCAAATAGTAAAAATAATTAATATCTTTTAGTTTTCAAATTTAATTTTTAATAAACAGAAAATAAATTAACAAAAAAAAAACAGACGAACCAATAATAACATTATAAACATGCTTGTGATGAGTCATATATAATTTGAAGGAAAAAATATTACAAATTCAAACTAAAGAGAAAATAATATCTAAGACATACTAAGATTAAAATATGTTCTCTAACTAAGATCTTAGTCTTCAATCACCCAAAAATTAAATAGGAAAAGGAAAGACTCTTGTAAGAGAAATTATGATGTATACAATTTAAAAGCCTATATGTGAAAATAAAAGAATAAATATATTGCATAAAAAAAATTATAGCTGCGAAAAATACCATGTGTGATTCTTGAAGATAAAATTATTTTACTATTACATGTAAATTATATATTTTCATCATATTTATTGTTGAAATTTCACCTTTTTAAAAATGAAAAACAAGCTAAGAAAAAAAAAGTAAAAAGGGTAAAAAGGAACAAATAAAGACTAATAAAATATAGAAAGGAAAAAACCCAGTGAATATCCTGATTGAAACTGCGTTATAGAAATACTCGGATAAATCAATATACCTTGAATTTCAAGAACACTTCAAATTGCATCAGATATAAATCTAAGAAGAGGCATATTCTACAATAAGAGAGGGGGGGGGGGGGGGAGGTAGAAGAAAACAACAACAAAAAAATAGTGTTAAAAATTTGAAACCTTCCAGTTTCAAAAAAGAAAAATGATGAAGGGCATGGGATGCTGGAGGACTATGAGATTTCTAGGAACACAAAATCAGTTTCTCACCGTTGTCGCTGTCGAGAAATTACTGTAGATACCACACTTCATATGTTCTTCATGATTGTCTTAAAGTCTTCGATTTCTTAACTAAAATAGCGTTCCTATATCTTCCATACCTTTTGAAATGTATATGAAGATGAAATTATTTACTTAAAGATAAACATAGTTTCTTTATTTACCTGAAGAAAGTCATTATTCACTTGGAAAAAAGATTTATTACTTTCAATGGCCTTTTCGTTTACCCTATTCATGGTTATTTAAATGTAAGTTTAACTGTTGTCTTTTCAATTATCCTAATTATTGTAATTGAAGTGTGAATTTATTTTTCAGGTCATTAAAAATGAAAATATTATGCTTTTATTTTCATATAATGTTATATATATTCAAATAATGTTTAAGTGAAGGGCAAATTCGTAATTCAACTTTGAGATAAAGGACTTTCCACTTATAATATAATATGATATGATGATGATTAGTAACTGACCAAGAGATTTAATTTTTTTTGTAATTGTTTTTTAAAAAAATATAAGTAAATTTTTTCCCGGGGTGTCTTTTTGATTTTTTTTTTACTTGACATTAAATTTTTTTAGGTGAAACTTACAGAAAAAAAATTAAAACTTTACGAGAATGTAAAAGTAAAAATGTTTCATTATTTTTAATTTTTTTAAGTGTCTCGTTGTTATTATCGTTATTGCCAAAAACTATTGAAGTATTAAAGCCTAAAAATTGTTTGTTTCTAGGATAAATTTTCTTCTTTGTTTCTCTCTCTTTTTTATTTTTCGTTTGATTGCTTTATATTAAATTAAATATGAACTCCGTAGAGCTAAGCAATATATATTTTGATTTTAAAATTTTGGTACACTCATTTTTAAGAAAAGAATAATTACTTATTTAATTTTTGGACACCCTTCATAGATGATGATGTATGACTGTGACTGCGTAGATAATCGGGATCAGATCCCTGGCTATTGGAGGGAGAATTGGATGCATGTGATGAAATACCATGGCTAGACATTATATCCACATCCTGATTGAGATGTGCTCTTACAAATTGAACAGATCCATGGCTACCGGAGGGATCCAATGATTGAGTATGCCTATGATAAAGTACCAATGCTAGGCAATTCATCTGCACCCTGATTGAACACTCTTCTTACAATGTGGAGAGACATGCGGATGAACCATGTCAAGCAAACCTAATAAATTAATTTTATATTTTATTAGATGCATTACACATATATTTCTATTAGTTAGTGTCACGATTTTATATATAATTTCTCAATTGATATGTTAAATGATAAAAATAGATACTAAAGTATATTGAAAAATACAAGCTTCTAAGCATAATGAATATTAATCTTATGTTTTTATCTCCTTACATTTTCATTCAAAATGGATTTAATATTTATAAAGTTAAAATATAAATTAAGGTAGTTTTAATACTATTTATATAATAGTTACTTTATATTAAACATGCATACATGTTTCCCTATGATGTAAAAGAATACAATATTTCTTTAAAGTATTTTTTTAAAGAAAACATTCCACGGAATTTTTAATGATGTAAAAAAATACAATATTTCTTTAAAGTATTATTTTAAAGAAAACATTCCACGAAATTTTTAATGATATAAAAGAATACAATATTTCTTTAAAGTATTTCTTTTTATAAATCATCCTATAAAATTTTTATATTTGATTTGATATATATTTGTCTACATATAATAATTTACATGTTTGTCCACCTGAAAAAGATAATGCAAAAGACAAAAAAACCTCCTAATTGTGTTTAAATGCAAACCAATAAATTAGTATTATATGTGATATTACTTAGTTATTTGGTCTTTTCTCTTAGAGATATTGCTATTAGAATTTCTTTCTAACATTTATGGTGTAAGACATTTTATTAAGGCAATAAATATTTATAAAAATGGTGGAAACAATGTAAAGTTATGATACTATGATTGTAATCATATAATGTAACTTTTCATTTAAGAGTTTTTCAGTAATATGATACATGTTTTATTATTTAATACTTAATAAATGATTTATTATATTATAATTTAGTGTAGAGTTAAATTGAAATCCAATTTCGCATTTTAAAGCTTCCTACTTTAAGCTTGTACTCATAACGATGAATATGAATTATTAAAAGTCACATAATTTCTTTTTAAATTGTGTTTGAGTTACAATAAAAATACGAAAAGTGAAATGATAGATGTTTATAGCGTATAGTTAACTCATAAGAAGAAACTCTTTTTTATTTAGTCATCCCCTCATTATAATTTCGATATATAAATTTTATATTTATTTTAAAAGACGAAATAAAGTAGCAAAAACAAACATGGAGGCTCTCTTGCACTCCTTAAAATGTTTCTCTAGTGTTGTAAAATGAAATTAAACTAATTAACGTGCCTTTA